TAACTTAGTAGGGAAAAGGGAGGATGAGAAAGGGCATTTATGGAAACGCAAATGGCATTTTGGAAAAATTAGTGAGTCCTTAGAAGACTGACTACATTGGAGATATGCTAGTTTGTGACCTTTCAGTCTGGGTGTGGTGCCGGATTTCTGGTTTCTCAGAAGAGATTAGAGTTGCTCTGGGGAAGGGATTTATGACTTCAGTTCTTTCGTGAGGTTCAGATTTTAGGCTGGTAAAGTGTTTCCAGAGTTCAAATGCCTTCAGATGAAATTAATTCTTATGCATATGCAAAACGGAATATTTTGGGGTGACATGTCCTGGTCCCTAACAATGCTTATAACAACTCATTTCTTTGTATTGTTATCATCTCTAGCACGGTGCCAGCACAGTATGTTTTCAATAAATGTTTATTGACTAAAGGACTGCAGGGTTGTGAAACCGCCTAGCCAAAGCCGGTCAAGGGCAACAGACAAAATCAGAACACCTGAGGGGGCTCCTGAACAAGGCCCAGCATCTTAGAAAGGGCAACCAGCAACCGGTTTGTCCAAAGTCTTTCACAATTTCTCCTCACATAAAAATGGTGCAAAGAAATGCTATGGATGAAAGCAAAGGAAAAAAACGATTCTTAGTCTGAGTGTCATATCAGGGAAGATTTCATGAGGAGTTAACACTGATTTTGGATTTTTTAAAAATAGGGATTGTTTATGTGGAGAGATGGCAAAAAGGGAGTTTCTAAGTGGAAAAATGCAGTGGGCAAAGGCATGTGAGTACAAAGAAAGCACAACTCGTACTTTAAAAAGGGAAATAATGTAACCTGATTGCACTCAGGTATGTAGGTGGACTAGGCAGGAGTAGGATGGGAGGTAAAGCAGAGTTCACTTTGAGATCTCCAGCCTGAATCTGGTCGTCATTCAGAGGTGCAGGGGAGCCATTCAAGGCTTTTGAGCTGGAAAACGGGAATGTGAGTTTTACTAACATTAATACTAACTCGACATTAACTTACACCATTATGTGAGGTGGGCCGGAGAGGAGAGAAATACACAGCAGCCAGGCAGCTGGAAAGGGGAAACAGGAGCTGGAGAGCGCGCTGGGCATGGGGTGAGGGCGGCGGGAGGCCCTGGCAGCGGGGGTGCTGGTGGCGACGGGGCCGGTCGGCGCAGGAGAGCTCAGCGCGCGGTCGCCGCGTTCCCCCCCCCGTCGCGGGCTGTGGGGTCCTGGGGCAGGAACTGCGCTGTTCCTGTTGTCCAGCTCCCCGGGCTGTGCTCAGAACATTAGCCGGAGAAAACACGCAGAGAAAGGAAAGGCTTTTTTCAGAGAGGGGTGCGGGCAGAACTCAGGAGACAGGCGCGCTTGACTTAACGGAGGGGGAGTGACGGGCGTTCTGTCGGACGGCGTCAAACCTTTTAGGAAAGCGCTTAACGACTGCAGAGCGTCACGTGGGGGGGTTACGGGTTTAAGCAGAAATGAAACTATTTAAGGCTGCTGCCGCCAGGGAGGGGGGAGACGGG